CTGTGGCTTATTTGGATAAACAACTTTAAAAGATTAGAAGTAATTTTCAAATTTCTCAAAGAGATTAGAATTTGGGGTCCAAAGTACAGAGGTAATTGTTAAGACAGGTATAGGTGATATTCATCGTTAACCTCCTAGAAAAAGAATTCACCTTTTGAAAGCTGATGCTTGCAAAAATTTTCTTTTCAAAATTCCCTTAAGAAGAAGGTTGAGTGTTTTTGTTTTTTAAACCATGTAAAAATGTTATCTTTATCCTTCATTGCTAAGTTAAAGTATTAACAACTCCAAAAGATTTTACTGATTATTTTTCCACTTACTACCCATGAGATTGCAAAATGAAATCATTGTACCTATTCTCCAGTATTGATTTGCTTCTTTCCACCTTTTTGTTGTTATTCTTATTCCCCTTGTAATGAGTTGTTGATCTTCTACTATACTTACATCATTGAAGGCAGAGATCAAGTCTTAACTTCTACATCTCAGCAACATCAACAGAGCAGAATATGGCAAATAGTAAGCTCATGTTAATCGAATGAATGAATGAGTTAATGAACTTCTTGAAAATCCTTTTAACCTAAACTGTAGTATTTGAGCACCTGGGTTTACTTGATTTTTTATCCTCTTATCTTAAAAAAAATAACTTCTGCGAGCTTTAAGAACAGTTTCAAGATAAATACTTATTGGTGTTTTCTTTGGTACCCTTAGGTTGGAAAAGTGATTTTTAACGGTATACTTAGTTCCATTGCAATGAATGGTTTTAGAGTTCTTACAGTGGGACACTTAAATATGGTTGAGAGCAATGTGTACACTAGATATTGGACCTCTTAGCCAAGTTAATATAGACATTGTTTTAAAAAAAGAGTTGTTATTGATACCAAATGGTGTCTTGTTTTTTATTGTGATAAATGCCCACGTTCTAATTGTAATTATTTTATAAGAATACCCTTCTTGCTGCTTTAGAAACTCTTTGGAGGGGTGCAGTATAGATTTGTATTAGTATTAAATTATGCTCTATAAACATGTTATACAAGGTTCTAGAACATTATTATATGTTTAAATGAGATGCTTTCATTAAGAAAATTGTAGATATATCATGAGTAAATCCATAATTCACTGAGAAT